CGTCTTCTTGTACGATATGCATTTGAGAAATTGACTCCAAATTGCGGTTTTTTCAAATGCTGCTTTTGGCTTTCAAAAGCGTCTTCGCCTGTTTTATGTTTAACACCTAAAACAAGATCATTGAATTCTACAAATATCTAATCTTGGCGAATTTTCATCACCTTTCAACTCTTCCCGCTTTCTAGGAAAATCGTTCTCACCTTTTTTCGACGCTCCTAAAAACAGGTTTCTGATGCTCTGGATCAAATATATATCAATTTCTTACCCCTGCTTTTTAGTTGAATCAAGCGTTCATTTTGCTTTGTCTGCAGATCCAGAGCGTAACGATCCACAATGCAGAGAGCTAGCTCTATTCCTTGAATATCTTCACAACCTCTTATGAGTTCCTGTTGTGCGCGATCGAGATTTCTGGAAAATTTCTGCCTGACAATACATTTGGGAACTTGTTAAGTCCTAAAGCCCTTTTTCCAAAGAGTTTAAGAAGCATTATAGGCAACTCTGAATAAGATATGTCCACGCTTTGACCCAACCAGGCTCTTAGAAGACTATCACATCTCCAACTGCTAACTTTGAGCTCAAATTGTGGAAATGCACAAATAAGGAGAATGGTGAAAATGTTTACAATGATTTAGTGCTTTAGAGTATAATGACAGTAGTTCAAATAGCAACTTACTGACTCTCCAGCTTGAAAGTGTCTTTTCCCATATCCGCAGATTTCTGCTCGCCGTATGCAAGGACTGGTAGAAGACAAACGAGGACGCTAATCATAGCGTGGAGAAGGGTGTAGGAGAAAACAGTATCAGATTGCGATGCTTCTAAAATCAAGAAAAAGCTAACTGTTTATCTTACTCGTTACTCGACTCAATATTGTTGTGAGATTTCGACGCAGATCTTGCTAAATAAATCAGTAATGCTACTGGATATAAAAAGGTGGAAATTAAGTTTATTCCGCTAGACCAAGTGACAAGTGCTTTGAAGCACAACATTGAAAAAAAAAACCATT